CCCAGCGCTCCAGGTTGTCCCCCCATTCCAGCGTCCAGTTGCTTTGTCTCTCCTTGCTGCCCTTGGCTTGAGGCAAACCTAGCCAAGACCTACCAAACTCATGTCACACGTGGTCCCCAAACCCACAAATCCAGCTGTGAACCCCAGGGCCACAGCCAGGGCTGGAGGTAGCACCGGGCTGGCCGCATCCTGCATCCCAGTGCATCCCAGTCCCTGGCTGCATCCCAGTTCCCAGCAGCGGGAGCAGCTGCTGGCGTGGGACATGACTATTAAATGCTCATCCATAAGCAGCGCGGGCTGCTGCCGGTTGTGACATTTATCTGTACTCGAGAGGAGAGCACCGATAACTCAGTGGTGGCACCTCCACTCAGCAAGACAAGTGGCGGGAGCAGGAGCCGCGGGGCCACTGCTGTCACGGGGCCCACTGTGGCCATGGGACCTTGCCCCGTCCTCAGCCCTGAGTGATGCTGACCCTGTTCCCAGCTGGGACATGCCCGGAGCAGGTCCCCATGCCAGCAAGATGGGGACATCTACACTGCTCCATGCAGGATGGCAAGGGGTGCACAGGCCTGGGGCAGGACACCTGGGCCCCTCTCCTCACTTGGCAGGGGGTGCGGAGCCATTAACCCCTGCGGCTCCGCCGGCACCTATGGGACAGGCCAGCTGCAGGAGCACAAAGAGGGAACAGAGGGGCTCTGTGCGGGGACAGCAGGGCCTGTGGCAGGGCCTCACAAAAGGCAGGAAGCGGCGCCCGCTCTGCAAAGTGCCCTACAATAGAATAGGAAATGAGAACTTTTCTCTCGGGTTTCCGTGGGCTCATCCTATAGGAGTGAAAAGGGGTGACATCTCCAGTGCCAGCACACTGTAGACAGGCTGCCATTCTCCGTGGATGCCATAGGGTTCAGGCCTGGGTTGCCGGTATCCTGGCGCTGTGCGGTCCCTCGCCGTTACCACTCATGGCAGCACCACGTCCCAGATCCTTCGTGGGGGCTTCACAGGCTTTGACTCATCCTCAGCAACTTCTCCTGCTCCCAAGGGCTGCAGGATGCTGCTGGATGCCCCTTCCTGGCCGAAATCTCTGCCTGGATAAGGAACATCCTCAGAGCTGGCTGGTCACAGCCCTCGCAGAGAGTTGCATCCCTAGAGCAGCACAGGAAGCAGCAGCAGCCAGGTTGTCCTGCAGGATCCAGTTCCTGGCTTGGGATATCTCTTGGGCACCAATTTGGAGGGGATTAAGGGGAAAGCATTGGAAAGTACCCCTTTTTCAGCCTTGCCAGTAGAAGGAAGAGTTGCACCCAGGGGGGTGCCAGGGCGGGGGTGTGGATGGGATGCAGCAGGGATGCAGCATGTGTGTCCTGGGGCGTAGTGCTGCTTTGGGGGTGCTGAACAACGATGGTCTCTCCTCTGGCCCCACCTCAGGCTGTTCCCGGAGCTCCAAGGCAGAGTGATGGGATGGGCGTGCGGGGACCCATGGGGGAATGTCCCGGGTTCAGCACCGGGATATGGAGGGGCTGGAAATGCCCCCTTTGCTTGGACGGCCGCGGCCCGCGCAGGGGACAGCGCGGGGACGCCGGGGACAGCGCTGGGGACACCGCTGCGCGGGGGGAGCTGGAAAACGCCCCCACCCCCCCGCAAAGCCGGGCGCATGC